GGGTCCTCATTTTACCCACCTCGGAAGGATGGAAGGCTGAGTCAACCCTGAGCCGGTGAGATTTGAACCGCTAAACTGCTGATCTAGCAGTCAGCTGAAGTGGCCTGCAGTACTGCACTCTACCCACTGCGCCACCTCGGCTCTTATAGATGGTGCACTGTTTCTTCAACTTCCTTGCGGAGGTGGCTTTTACTGTCTGTGGCTGTCTTCTCAATTCTGGCTTTGTATGCATTTGTTCTTGTGCAGCCAGAATTAGCCCCTCTGCCTTTTTCTTCAATTTTCTCGCCCTTAGCCATTGCCAATTCTGTTGTTATCTGCTTTGCCTGCTTTTATTTTTTTTAATGTTGTGGCATGTAATACTTTGATTTGCCATGTCTTTTTTCTATTCTTTATCTTTCTTGTAGGCCAGTTTGGTCTCTCAATTTCCAGCTCCAAAAACTAAGAAAGATACGTTGAGATTCTTCTGAGCAGTTTCCTTTATTATTCCTCACCTCTAGATAGAAATCTTGCCAACCTAAAGCAGACCTCGTGCATCATTAAACATACACTCTGAGAACTAGGAAGGACTCTCTTTTTCCACATAAACTTACTTTGGTCGTTTAGAATGTATTGCCTCCCTCCTGGCACTCTGGATTACATTTCACCACACTCCAGTACTTAGTAAGTCTTTGTGATATCTGTATTAGCTTCAGTGCAACTTCAGATCTTCTATTTTTTTTAATTGTTAATATAAATAAAAAGAACATGTTCAAAATTCATATAAACAGTGTATTGTCTGATTACAATTCTTTTGAGTAATATTTATCATCATCATAATAGTATTCTCTAATAGTAATCTCATAATAACAGTGCTCTTCCCTCATAATATTAATACATATTAATTGTTAATACTAATCAAAATTAATAAGTTACAGTAAACAACCCTAATAATAAAATTAATCTTTCTCTTGTAATTTTCGAAGTTCTAAATCCTGTTTCTCTTATTTAACCATTGATAGAACAGATCCCATACCTCGAAATATTCAGTGTCTTCATTTTCTTTAATTTCAAATGTTAGTGTATTCATTTCTGCACATTCTAAAATTTTTGTTATTATCGTTTCTTCTGTGAGGATCTTCCCACCCTTCCAATGTTGTATGAACACTATTCTTCAGATCTTCTTCTAATGCCCTTTTTCCTTCTTTAACCATCTGGTGTACTTGCAACATTCCTCACCCCCTGATTTTCCTTAGGAAGTAGAGTCTGCCAACATCACTGGATGGATGATGGACATGATTCATTGTCATTATTTGTCTAGTCTTCCTATCCAGGGCTTTTAGTTTTACTTGAATCGAGTTCACTATTTCAGCTGTGTATCTAATGACTGGGATTGCCTTGTTGTTAATTGCCTTGATGGTATTTCCTCCAGAGAATTTGGACTTTGAGATCTTTTTCACTCTTGTGACTTCTAACCTTATTTTTGACTTCAGTTTTATTCTTGTTTTCAGTCTGAAGAATGTCTAGGTATATATAGTGACCTTCTTCATCCA